TTTTAGCTAACCTAACACAATAATATATAATATTTCAAATTATAGCAAATACAAAAATTCTTAACAAGGCTTTTTTTTGAGACAGAGTCTCATTCTGTTGCTCAGGCTGGAGTGCACTGGCATAATCTTGGCTCACTGCAACCTCTGCCTCCCAGGTTCAAGTGGTTCTCCTGCCTCAGCCTCCTGAGTTACTGGGATTACAAGCATGCACTACCACACCTGGCTAATTTTTTTTGTATTTTTAGTAGAGACAAGGTTTTGTCACATTGGTCAGATCTCAAATTCCTGACCTCAAATGATCCACCCACCTCGGCCTCCCAAAGTGCTGGGATTACAGGCCTGAGCCACTGCACCCGGCGGACAAAGAATTTTACATTCATTTCTTGGTACTAAGTGTTTGGAATCCAGTATAGATTTCATACTTTCAGTGCATGTCAGTTCAGACTAACCACATTTGAAGTGATTGATTAATAGTCACATGTGGCTAGTAACTACTCTATTGAGCAGTGTAGATTTAGACCATTTACATTTAATGTAATTACCAATATATTTAGGTGTCAAATTACCATCGGCTATTTGCTTTCCCACCTGTTCTCTATTCCTTTTCAATTCTTTCCATCTCTTCTTTTGGATTATCAGTAATTTTATTAGCTTCATCTGTCCCTTTCCCTGTTGACTTGGTATTTATAAATTCTTTTATTTATTTTTAGTGGCTTTCCTAATAAATTAGTGCTTTAACCTCTTCCCAGACAATACCAGGATCTTAGAACACTTACTCCCACACTCTTTTGTGTTACTGTTACATACTTTAATTCTAAATATATTCTAAGTCATGCAAGATATTATTATTTGTAGTTAATATTCATTTAGATTTATTTTCGTGTTTCTTTTTTTTTTTTTTAATTGAGATGGAGTCTCACTCTATCCCCCAGGCTGGAGTGCAGTGGTATAATCTTGGCTCACTGACAACCTCCACCTCCTAGGTTCAAGCGATCTCCGACCTCAGCCTCCCAAGCAGCTGGGATTTCAGGCATGTGCCACCACACCCAGCTAATTTTTTGTATTTTTAGTAGAGATGGGGTTTCACCATGTTGGCCACGCTGGTCATGAACTCCTGACCTCAAGTGATTCACCCGCCTCGGCCTCCCAAAGTGCTGGGATTACAGGTGTGAGCCACTGCACCTGGCCCACGTTTATTTTTCTTTGCCCTTCAAACCTTCTGCATCTCCTAGTTTCTACCACACATGGAATGCCTTCTGCCTGATGTATACCCTTTAGTATTACCTTTAGTCAGAGTCTGCTGGTGACAAATTTTCTGTGTTTGTTGGAAAAGGTATTTTACCTTTTTTAAAACAAAACAAAACAAAACAAAAAAAGGTCTCACTGTGTCACCCAGGCTGGAATGCAATGGCGCCATTACTGCCCACTGTAGTCTCAACCTCCTGGGCTCTAGTGATCCACCATGTCTGGTTGATATTTTATCTTTACTGCTGAGATATTATACTGGATAAGTAATTCTAGATTTAATATTAGAACTTTGAAGATAGCATTTCTCTCTGTCTTCTAACATTACTCTTCCTTTGACTTACTTTGTAAAATGGGTATTGGAATACCTGCCCAATCTACCTCACAGTATGATTCTAAGGCTCCAGTAATAGAAGGGACAGGACATAAAGGCATTTTTCAACTACAATGTATCATATTAAAACATACAAAGTTAATAATTATTGGAATAAAAGACTATCCAGGACAAAAGTTACACATTAAAGAGGGTCTTGCTTGCTAAGAATTGAAAACAAATTGTTTCAAGTTATTAAACATCCTATTATTTTTATGAATCGAACTTAGTTTCACATTTCTACTTCAAACAAGGAGAAAGCAGTTACAATTCTTTAAATAATTCTGGTCTTCTCTTCCAACACAGTAAACAGAGTCAATTTATGAACTGAGGTTTTCAACCTGCTAACCAAACCACAAACTCATATCTGCACTGTATGACGAGGAATCATGGTTTGTTTTTTGGGTTTTTTTTTTTTTTGAGACAGAGTCTCACTCTGTCGCCCAGGCTGGAGTGCAGTGGCACAATCTCAGCTCCCAGGTTCAAGCGATTCTCCTGCCTCAGCCTACCGAGTAGCTGGCTACAGGCGTGCACCACCAGACCCAGCTAAGTTTTGTATTTTTAGTAGAGACAGGGTTTCACCAGGTTGGCCAGGATGGTCTCAATCTCTTAACCTTGCGATCCACCCGCCTCAGCCTCCCAAAGTGCTGGGATTACAGGAGTGAGTCACCATGCCCAGCCAAATCATAGGTTTTATAATATTTTAAAATTTCAGTTTATTTGTAAAATGCTTCAGCAATTATTTTTCTTCTCATTCAGCTACATGGAACATTCAGAACAGTTACAGATGTAGAGAATTTTATAGGTCAGTTTTGATTAGCATGGAAACCAATAAACAACAGGTAAGGTTGTGATATTCTCCAATAAAATTTCTAACAGAATTGGTAAACTTCAGTTTTCCTTCATCTATAAAACCTTTAAAACTTTTTTCTTTGCTTTGCTTTTTTTTTTTTTTTTTTTTTTTTCCCTGACAGAGTCTCACTCTGTCACCCAGGCTGGAGTGTAGTGGTATGCTCTCGGCTCACTGCAATCTCCACCTCCACCTACCAGGTTCAAGAGATTCTCATGCCTCAGCCTCCAACTAGCTGGGACTACAGGCGTGCACCACCACATGCAGCTAATTTTTGTATTTTTTTGGTAGAGATAGGTTTTCACCATGTTGGCCAGCTGGTCTTGAACTCCCGGCCTCAAGTAATCCATCCACCTCGGGCTTCCAAAATGCTGAGATTACAGGCATAAGTCACTGCACCCAGCCTTTTTTTCTTTTAAATAGGGAAGAGGTCTCACTCTGTTGCCCAGGCTGGTCTCGAACTCCTGAGCTCAAGTGATCCTCCCACCTGGGCCTCCCAAAGTGGTGGGATTACAGGTGTGAGCTACCATGCCCAGCCAAAAACCTGTCTTCTTAAGCACCCTTTTAACTATTCATTTTTCATATAATGATAGCAATAAGTTAGGGAACCACAGTAGCTCAAAAAATAAAATAAAAGGTATCCATTCAAACTTCTAAATGTCTAAGACTTTTAAAATAAGATATTTAATGTCACTGAATAAAATTCTTAAATTCCAATTACTCTCTGGCCCTCATCTTCCAAACCTGTAGTTTAAGACAGCAATCTATGACATCTGTTACACTCCTGGTGCCAGGGTTGATTTTATGGATCTCGTTGGTTAGGTAGAACACGTGTTCCCTTCCTCTTTCACCACTCCTTATGCATACTCCCCCAACGCACACACAACCAAGATACTGTTAGCTCACTTTCACAGATATGAGTGGTTTTGCTTCTTAATGAAAACGTTTTACTCTCCGTTTTTTCAATCACGATTTATCATGGTCTTCCACAGAGTAAGCAGGGCATTTGTGGTCTGCAGAAAGTTTAACTGGCCTTCAAGTGTGTTTATGTGTTTTTAAAAAATAAAACTTAACATCTAGAAAACATAAAATGAATAAAACACATCAAATTTCTATTTGTTTGTGTAAATATATATACATATATGTATGTGTATTTTACGTGTATAGGCTGATTTAAAATGAGAAGTACTACATATCTTTAAAAAGCTAAAGAATATATCTAAATTTCATAAGAATCATAACTTGTATAGTTCTTTCCAGAGTCCTTGAGAGATGTACCATCTAAGGAACTCTAAGGAGCAGGGGCACTCAGCACACCTGAAAAGTACCATTGTGACAGTGCTTCTATATTCCTATCCCTGAAACACTTTATGAAAAGTTGGAAAATAAGAGATACACCATTGACACTGCTTATAAAACCTAGTAAATATCATGTATAAGTAACTTTCTTTTATGGCTTATTTGTCAAATCCGTTTTAAGTTAATCTCTGTACATTTAGCACAGTAGACATTATAGCCTTCAAGTACACAGCAAATTTTTTTTTTTTTTTTGAGACGGAGTCTCACTCTGTTGCCCAGGCTAGAGTGCAGTGGCACCATCTCAGCTCACTGCAACCTCTACCTCCAGGGTTCAAGTGATTGTCCTGCCTCAGGCTCCTGAGTAGCTGGGATTACAGGTGCCCACCATCACACCCAGATAATTTTTGTATTTTTAGTAGAGACGGGGTTTCACCATCTTGGCCAGGATGGCCTCAATCTCTTGACCTCGTGATCCACCTGCCTCAGCCTCCCAAAGTGCCGGGATTACAGGCGTGAGCCACCGCACCCAGCCTAGCAAAATTTAAATAAAGAGAAAAATTTCGTATAACCCACCAAACTTGCTTCATTGCATATAAATACCACTAGGTAGGTCAAGAAAACAAAGTAAAACAATCAGCTGTGATACTTGAGATGCAAAATCTTCATCTAAGTAAGTGGATAACAGTTATTATTTACTCTAGACAAAGGAAATACAGAGGTCAACTGAAGACATAATGCCCAGTCAAGGTGATACATGGTATGTAATGATAAGGAGCACGTAATATCTAAAAGCACTATTACTAAATGCTGAATCACCTACCTACCTACCTTCCTTTCTTTTTTTTCTCTCTCTTTCTCTTTCTTATTTTTAAATAAATGCAGCTATATGTCAACCATTCAATTTTTAAAAAATAACAAGCTGGGCACAGTGGCTCATTTCTATAATCCCAGCACTTTGGGAGGTGAAGTCAGAAGGATTGCTTGAGCCCAAGGGTTCAAAAGCAGCCTGAGCAACACAGCAAGACTCCCATCTCTGCAAAAAATTTGAAAATTAGCCAGGTGTGGTGGCACACCTGTAGTCCCAGCTACTCAGGAGGCAGAGGCTGCAGTGAGCCATGATCATACTACTACGCTCTAGCCTGGGCAACAGAGTGAGACTGTCTACCCAGGGAAAAAAAGAGAAGAAATAATAACTCTTGAGAAAAGCAAGTACTATGCAAACTGCTGCCTTACCTTCATGACATCTCTATATGACCGAATAGCTGAGATTTTTCTCTTTTCATCTTCTTCATCTTCCAGGCCTTCTTCTGCAGCCTCATAGCCCTCATCATTGCTCCCATCAGCTTCTACCGTGTTGGCCATGTGATCGATGAGCTGCTCGAGGGGAGGGCTTAATTCCCTTTCTTCATTCTCCTTCAAACCATAGTCCAGTGCTTTATAAATAATAATTCCCAAAGATTCAATGACCTAGGAACATTTAAAAAAATGTTAATGGAGATGACTGAAGAGCCTTCTAGGATGAATTGTGAGGCATAAAATGTTTAGTATTATTTTTTTCCCGTCAAACCAACATCCAACACATACACAAACCCTTTTTATATTATCTTAGATTTATAATTTGTGTTAAAATCCGTATTTGCCATTCATATATAAAATATGAACTGAGTTTACTTTCTACATTTCCAGAAGATATTTCTGAGAACAGATATGGTTATCAAAGAACATATCCTTTCAGAACTCTTATGCCAATGTTTATTTAATTAGAGATTCACAGACATCCTAAGTATGAAATATTGAAAATTCAGTTATGGGTAGCAATTAACTTAAGCCTAAATAACAATGACAAAAATCTACTCATATCCATGCATACACACTTCTCTGAGTTCTATTCAATCACTGAAAACACATGTCTCTCATATGATGCAAAAAAATGAGAGATCTTTTGCAAACCCTGAATTTTCAAGGAAGCCCACAGATAAGCATCCCTACCACCCATCTCCATCAGTATTACTACAGGCGAATGAATCTCATTTATGAACAGTCAATACATCACTGTTGCATACAATCTTGACAACTGCTCCAGACTTGGACCAATACAGGGAATTCCACTTTATTTCTCAATACTGCCTTTCTGCTTTAAAAAAAAAAAAATCACATATAAACCTTTTTAATTTTATTGTTTTTCCTGTCTCTCTCTCTAAAGAACACAGGCAGCCAGTGCAGTGGCTCATGCCTATAATCCCAGCACTTTGGGAGGCCAAGGTGGGTGGATCACTTGAGGTCAGGAGTTCGAGATCAGCCTGGCCAACATGGTGAAACCCTGTCTCTAATAAAAATATAAAAATTAGCTGTGTATGGTGGCGCGTGCCTGTAATTCCAGTTTCTTGGGAGGCTGAGATAGGAGAATCGCTTGAACCCAGGAGGCAAGGGTTGCAGTGAGCCAACATCGAGCCACTGCACTTCAGCCTGGGTGATCGAGTAACACTCTGTCTCCAAAAAAAAGAAAAAAGAACACAGGCAATGAAGATTTAGAATTAAATCCTGACTTCTACCACTAGCCACCTGCCTTAGGGCAAATCATTTTAGTGATGACTTTTCTCAACTGTTAAATGGGGATGTCAATGACACCTACATTTAATAAGATTCTGTTAAGACTATAAATATGTATAAATATTACGTATTTTCAATAAGAAATACTTTAAAACAGTATTGTTTAAAAACTTGTAAGTTAAGAATTTTTAAGCATGATTTTCATTTTGGATGCTAGTGTTGAGAAAATATTATTTCATTTGGTAAAGTCGATTTCAGATTTTGTAGAGAATTTTTGAGTGAGTGCCTTTAAGGGCTACAGTATATGACAATGACTCCATGCATGGAAGTACCTGGTACAATATCTGACTTATAATAGGGACTCAATAACGTTCTCACTGCCCTCCCCTTCTTTCAGCCCACTCTTTTTCCAATGTCTATCAGTTACTCCCAAAGTAAATACATAAAATCTTTCATTTTCATTATTTCATTTATAGCTGGAAATACTGCATTTTTTAAAAAGTGATTTCTACAGCATCAAAATTAAAAAGTCAGAAGTTTCTAACATGAGTTAAACACAAGAGAGTCACCGTCATATACTGTAGCCCTTAAAAAGCACTCACTCACTCCCTCAAAAATTCTCTACAAAATCTGAAATTTACTTTACCAAATGAAATATTTTCTCAACACTAGCATTCAAAATGAATCTCATGCTTAAAAATTCTTACCTTCTTAGTTTTTAAGCAATACTGTTTTAAAATATTTCTTACTAAAATATGTAATATTTGCACTGATTTTTATGGTCTGATCTGGCACTGCAGCCACTGTTTTCTTTTCTTTTTTTTTTTTTTCCTTCCTCTTTTGGGACAAAGTCTCACTCTGTCACTCAGGCTGGAGTGCAGTGGTGCGATTATGGCTCACTGCAGCTTCGACCTCCTTGGGCTGAGGTGATCCTCCCACTTCAGCCTCCCTAGTAGCTGGGAAAACAGGTACGCACCACCAGGCCTGCCTAATTTTTTTGTATTGTTTTAAGAGACAGAGTTTCAACATGGTGCCTAAGCTGGTCTCGAACTCTTGGACTTAAGCAATCAGGCTGCCTCAGCCTCCCAAAGTGCTAGGGTACAGGAATGAGCCACCACGCATTATTTTCTACTATAAAAATGAATTTAAACAATGGATCTTCTAAGTTCCAAGGCAATTGACTACTTTAGTCATCCCTCCTGGCAGTGTCCCAGGACAATCAGCCTGTTCTGGAGAGGGTACCATTTCAGTGCTTCCCTGGCACAGGGTACACACTTCTCTCATAGCATGTACCATTCTCACCACAGGCAGGTGCTGCTTCAGGCAAGGATTTTAACTTTCAAAGATGGCACAGCCTAACACTAACCTATCAACTATGGCTTCCAACCATAGACCCAAGAACCACTCAGCAAGCTTTGCTCTTTTCTCTGTTCAATTACTTTGCCTACAGGAGCTGACCCATTCTTCAAAAAGTCATTTTATATCATCTTCCTCTTTAATCCAGCAACCTTTTCTGCCTCTTTTGGGCTCAGCTCCAAATAAAACAATCACTTTCCCACTTTCAAATGTACAAACTGATAGTAATCTATACTTATTTCCCCTTCCTTCCATTCGTAGTGGAGGATAAGGTCTTCTATTCCTGTTAAAGGTCCCTACCCTCCTGACCCTTCATACCCTCCAGTGTAATCCCATTTCTATGCTTACTTTACAAGCAAACCTCCCAAAAGGGAGGTAGCAATGCTGATGGTAGCAATGATGAGGGCTATAAAACTGCAGAAGGAGGCCTGGAACATAAAGAAGATGCAAAGAGAAAAATCTCAGCTATTTGGTTATATAGAGTCGTGAAGGTAAGGCAGCAGTTTATATAGTACTTGTTTTTCTCAAGAGTTGTTACTTCTTCTTTTTTTTTTTTTCCTGGAGAGACAGTATCTCATTCTGTCACCCAGGCGGGAGTGCAATTGTGTGATAATGGCTCATTGCAGCCTCTGCCTCCTGAGTAGCTGGGACTACAGGCGTATGCCAACACACCTGGCTAGTTTTTTAATTTTTTGCAGAGATGGGGTCTTGCTATGTTACTCAGGCTGGTTTTGAACCCCTGGCCTCGGGCAATCCTCCTGCCTTGGTCTCTCAAAGTACTAGGATTACAGACATGAGCCACTGTCTGTAATGAGCCCATCTCTTCTTTCCCTCCTCCCGTCCACTGTTGAATCCATTTCCATCTAATGTCTTTCCTTCTGAAACACTGAAACACAAATACTAAAGCCACAAACAATCTCTATATAGCATGTTTAATCCATCCTCATCCTAAAGGACTGCTCAATAGCATCCAACACAACTCACTCATTTCTTTGGTTCTAAACACTCTGGATTTTAGATTTTCTCTCAACAACTACTTCTCAATCTGTCTACAGATCCTTTCTCCTGCAACTGTTTAATTGATGGAGTTCTTCAGAGCTCATGCACTCTACTTTCTTCCACAATCTCTTGCAAAGTACTCTTATACATAGCCAATGCTGTAAACACAATATGTATTCTGCTATTTCCTTAATTTATATTACTAGTCTACAGTTTGTCTCTGGTATGCAAGTAATATATCATTTTTACTTAATACTTCCACGTGAATACGTAATACGCACTTCAAACCATAATGTTTGCTTATTGTCTACTTTCTTCACTAAAATGTAAGTTCCATGAGACCTTGGATCTTGTCTATTTTGTTCACCATCATGAACAAAATGCTGTATGTTATACAGAGCTTGGCTCATAGCAGATGCTAAATAAGTATCTCACAATTAAATCGATAAGTTGCTTTATAACAATAATATATCTACTTCTGAGTTCCTTTTTGTAGATATAAAATATTTAGCAGAAACGTTTTCAAAAAAGTTATGGAATTTTATTCTTAAAAATCTGGGTTGGGAGAGGGGTGGAGAAAGACGGCTGAATAGATGATGGCTTTAATGACCATCAGCCCTGTAGGAACACTAAATTTCCAAAAATTTTTTTTTTTGGAGACAGAACTTTGCTCTTTCGCCCAGGCTGAAATGAAGTGGGACAATCTCCGCTCACTGCAACCTCTGCCCCCCTGGGTTCAAGCGATTCTCCTGTATAAGCCTTCTGAGTAGCTAGGATTACAGGCACATGCCACCACACCCAGCTAATTTTTGTATTTTTAGTAGAAATGGGGTTTCACCATGTTGGCCAGGATGGTCCCGAACTCTTGAACTCGGGTGATGCACCTGTCTCAGCCTCCCGAAGTGCTGGGATTACAGGCGTGAGCCACTGCACACGGCCAGTAACACCAAATTTAACTATCACAAAAAAGGCACCTTCATAAGAACCAGGTGCCTGGGGGAACTTGCTGCAGAGAGAAAATCTGGGTGGTTTGGGAGTAGAAAAGAACAGTAATTGTGAGACTCTCCACTAAATTCAGTGCTGTCCTATCACAAAGGAAAGTAAATCAGGTTGAGGCAGATGCCCACTCACAGAGGGAACATTTAGACCAGCCCTAGCCAGAGAGGAATCACCTAATCACCTATCTCAGTGTGGGAATTTGAGTTCTGGCAAGCCTTGCCACTGCGAGCTGAAGTATACTGGGGCTCTAAATAAGCTTGAAAGGCACTCTAGGCCACAAGGACTGCAACTCCAAGGCAAGTTTAGGTGCTCAGCTGGGCTCAGAGGCAGTGGATTTGTGGGGCATGTGACCTCCTGAGACACCAGCAGGATGGCTAAAATAGTGCTTGCAGCACCCCTCTCCCACTGCAAGGCAGCACAGTTCGCAGCTCCAAAAGAGTCCCCTTTTTTCCACTTGAAGAGAGGAGAGGGAAGAGTAAAGAGGACTATGTCGTGTATATCAGATATCAGCTTTAGCCACAGTAAGACAGAACACCAGGCACAGTCATGAGAACCCCATTCCA